GTAACATGTACAAATATATGGAAACTATTAGGTACTCTTAATTACTAATAATCTAACAATTATTATGCTTCGTTAAGCCATTAGGCTTAACGAAGCATAATTACACAAACATAAAAACATAATTACAGTTATATAAGTGAAAAGGACCACATTCATCAAGGTCAAAATATTTGTTAAAATTTGTATCTTACATAACATAGAAAGCGTACAAAATTGCTTTTGAAAAAGTGCTGAAAAAACCGTCCTCAAAAGTTCGTGAAATTACATCTATTTATTTGTGAAATTACTCCACTATAATCTTTGTATTAATAATTATTATATCTATTTGCCAAGTTTGAAATCGGTTACAGGAAAGTGTGCGAAACCGGATTCATCCCCAAGTTTGCTACCCTTAGAGGTAGAATATTTTATTCAAATTTAAATGGGACTACTACTGAGATACCGTCGTTCCAACAAAAAAAGAATAATCTTAATCGGTTCACAAATTATCAAAACAAAAAACATTCAGTCGAATTAAAAATCTCCTCCTTTTTTTAAAGTCTGTTAAAAAAAGGCGTTTTATATACGTTATACCCCTATCATGTAGTTTTATACTACCATGTAAAGAATAATGTAAAGAACATTTTGATCAAAAGCTAATTCACCTTTCACCATCTTCCCGTAGATGGGCTTCTATCGAGAACCATAAAAAGACATTGTTGTCTGCCAAAATAAAGTTAAAATTCTTCATAGACTTGTCAATTACTCCTAAAAGCACACCACTACCCTACAGTCGGCCCAGTTGCACCCACAGCACCCATATACGGGTTGATACCATATCCTGTACGATAAATTAGAATTGAGATTTATAGGTATCCACTCTGTAAAGTCAAAGTGACTTCAGAAACAAAGATAGTAAGTAACCTGGTACTTATCCGATTTTTCTGTCCTTGAATTTAAAGCTAGCTCTGTAATATTTAGGAAGTGCGCCATGCCTTCAAAAATTGACAGGCTGGTAATAAAATAAGATGGTAGGTATAATTTATCATCATTTGTGATGTCATGGCAAATAATAGCGTGGGATTCAACGAATGCCCATTGATTGCATATTGGTACAAATATATTTGGTAATATACACAAAAAACCCAATCTTAGACCGAACCTCGTGGTATAATTTGTAAATAAAACATTAATAAATTATGGTAAAAAATTGTAGCGAATGTCATATTTATAGCTTCCTAGTGATCCTCTTTACTTGAAATGTATTGAAAATCTTAAGATTCAAGATCGGCTTCTACTTAAACAATTAATGACATCTATCTACTAATAGATAAGCCGAGGTAGCCTGATGGTTTGACCTACCGCCTTTACTTGTAAAAATCGTGGGTTCGAATCGGACCTCGCACCAGTGCCACCAGCACGCAGTTTCTCGGAATTAATTTGCAAAATTTAATTTAAATTTTACCATGAGCTTTTCGGTGAAGGAAGACATCGTAATGAAACCTGCACTTCGAAGAAGGTCCACAACCCTCAGAAAACGTGTAGAGTCCCCAACCCGCATTGGGCCAGCGTGGCGGACTATGACCTTAACCCTCGCCTGAGAGGAGTCCTGTGTCCAGCACTGGGAAGTTTAAATGGGTTGATAATGATGGTAATGCTCTGTCTACATGTAATAATAGTTTACGTATTGACTTGCAGCAAAAAGGACTACTACATAACCTTCAGCTTAGATAATAATAGCGACGCATAACTAATGTATACTTTTTATTTAGCAGTCGTAATGCGATTATCATTCCGCCTCTCAGGACCTGACTATTTTGTTAACAAATTCTTTTTTTATGTAATATCAAGTGACGGGACGAACAAATCGTGCGCCTGACGGCAAACTACACGCTTGTCCTTAAAGTCGAGCGGTTTCGCGCGTCGCCGCGGGTCGCCGTGCGTTGCTCGCGCGCAGTGACGCGTCAGATACCGACCACATAGTGCCGAACTGCGACGAGACGAGTGCGCGACAGTGGATGAAGGCGAAAACTTAATTTACTTAATCCAAAAATATGAATATCTATGTAACATAAAAATTTCCCCTTCGCTCCTCTGATACTCTCTTACTTAACTTGCCCTCTCATACCTTTAACTTTTATTCCAACTTTTTTACAACTTTTACCATTTCTGCGATCAGATTGTGGAACTCTCTCCCTGAATCGATTCGACGATCCACTTCTCTTGATTCCTTCAAACTACGTGTCAAGGATCACTTCCTCAGCTCCTAAATTTCGTCTGTACTCTACTATCCTTTCATTTATTTCCTGCATTTATACTTCATTTTTCTTTTTCCTTTAAAAGTATATAAGCATTTAATATTATTATGTATTTATTGTTATGTACGTATTAATATTATTGTTATTTGTATGTATATGTATATCTATCTATGGATATGTATATATATATTTTTATTATTATTACTTATTATGTAGTATACTTATGATGATATTCTTTGGTTGCACCTCTTTTGCATATCCGAAATGTCTATCCTAAGGTTGCCTGGAAGAAATTGCTACATAGCAATATGGCCGCCTGTTGCACATTGAATTACCACTACTGTTATACTTAAGCTATTGTACTGGATTTTAATTGTAATTTTTATGTGCAATAAAGAATATTTCATTCAATATCTTGAGTCCCGGCTTAAATCGTTACTATAAAGTATTTTTAAATTCGCCAAGTATACGTCTTTTCTTCCATGACTCGTGAATCCAACATTCTCCTTTTATTTTTCTCCCTTCAGCTTCTGATATAATTTCAATTTCTTCCTCAGACGCTTCAGATATAAGAGCAATTATAATAAGATCGATATCAACCATTATATACTGTCGAGCACGAGCGCCATTCACGAATGTTCAAGTCTCTGAACCAGTCCAGCACTGTGATCCGAGCGCGCTAATGTGAGCGTCGTCGCGCGACGACGCGCGTCGGAATGCGTTGTAGTTGAAAAACAGGACGCAACTCGACTCTTCGACTCTACGCCAGTGTGAGTTGCGTCTAAGACATGAGTTGACAAATCCCATATGCCTGTAATTTCACCAGCACCCTTCAAAACCAGTACGCAGTAATGCTAACATTATTGCTTAGCGGCAGAAATGGGTAAGGTGGCTGTACCTACTTCCCTGGACGAACTCTTTCACAAGGAGCCCATTGCTTCGTCCATAATTAAAAAGGAGTAGCGTAGCGTAGACGAAATTAAACTTTCATATATCTGGTTTCTAACCAATGTGTCATGCAATTTCGAATTAAAAAGGGCGTATCTTCGCTTGTAAACTAGGACGATTTATATCTTGTTTTCTAATAATGTGCCCTGCAATTTCGAGGGCGCATCTTCGCTTGAAAACTGGGGCGGTTTCAAATAACTTTTCGGCGAATCGACCGTGTCGCTGCCAAATGCTCATTACATTGCCATTGCCAGACAATGTTTACTTGTCGAACAGCATTCAGCTGTGACAACGGCTATCAATTTGATGACTAAATAAATTTAACGTGAACCATTGACAACTCGCGTCAAACACACAAAATAGAAATTTCATTGAATTATGCGAATTTATTTAGCTTTAATTCGCAATTACGTGGACTACTATAGTTGTTTAATTAAAAAGTAAACTAATAAAAATTATGAACAAGTTTTAAAGACAAAAAGTAATTTCACTAAGAATGACTATGAGTTACTTCACTCAGCTGTTCAATAATAGCTAAAAATAAAAGGATAAACTTAATTATTCATGTAAAGTACCTACATGAATAATTAAGTTTATCCTTTATTTTAATACTTGATGAAGAAGAGTATCTAAATTTAAATCAAAACCTCCAGTGTAAAACAATGTATGTACTCCAATAAAGTCACCGACGCCTTTGCCAATAAATCGACGAGCGTAAAAACGATAGATCTAGATACTGTAGGTACTGCACCTAAGTAGAGTGAGACGTTGAGCTGGGTTGCAGTGTCTGATCAAAATTATCTACCTCAGGTTTTCGTAGTAAATATCTATCTTAGAATAATAACGCATAGAATGATAGTTTCATATCAAACGAACTGTCACAAGTGAGGCAAAAATCAAATTCATGTAGGCTAGTTTTAGTAGTATGTTAATTTTCGGTTTTAGTGAATATTTATATAAAAATACAAATTGAAACGCGTTACTTCCTTGTGGAATGCGATGTTGGTATCTATTTTATGTTTGTCTGACGTATTTTTACACTCATTTACCGCACATTTCGTCATTTTTAGCTAAAATTCTAGAGCTGCTCGCGGTGCAAGTTGACCGTGAGCACTGAAGGGGCCTTCAGCCCGCTCGTGTAGGCCCTTTGGGAGCGCTTCAATTTGCCTCACTTTGCATGTGCGGGCTAGGTTTCTATGCGTTATTATTCTAAGGTATCTATATTAAATTTCATTTCGATTGGACATGTTGAAATAAAAAAAACATTCATTTTATGTCATCCTAAATAATTAAGAAAAAAACTGATGTTACAAACTGCTGATGCTCATCAAACAATGAACCATCCCGATTACTAACATCTTTCAAACAAAAAAGAATCACTTTGGATCAGCAGACATCAGAAACACAGGTAAAGGCTTCAAACTTATAAGTTCCCTATATGTTTGTGTCGGGGATTAAAAATAATAACTTTTCGTAATCTACTGAATAAAAAAAAATTAATGTTTTTGTCACAAACTTAGTGATGTTAATTAATCACCTTTTCTTGCAAGAACCAAACGCAATATAAATTTCACAGGAGTTTTCAGAGCACACAGTAATTCACTATTTCCCTATCTGTAAAGTGCACTTATTACACCGACAGCGTTTACCAAACGCACTAAAAGTTAAAATTGAGATGAAAGAGCTGGTGTAATAAACAACACGCATTGCAATAGATTATATGCCTTGAAAACATAGTTGTCAGTGTCATTCACTTAGAAAACAAATGTTCAAATAAATTTTTGGACCTATTTTTAGTTTTTATAATATTCCCACGTTCCAGATTTACAGTTACTACATTCTTTAGTGTCATACCTTAGTGCGGCTAAAGCTTTATTAGTACTATATCGTTATGGGTCGGAAATCGCAGTCGAAACAAAGTTCAAAGAAGAATGGGGGGAAAGAAAATAATAAATTTCTTCAACAAAAGAGAAAGGAATTAGTTCTTCTTGTCGATAAACTGTTAAAGCTGACGAGTACTTTTCAGGCCACCTCCACCGTGGCTAAAAGTTGGGAGCATCACTTAGAAATCGAGGTGATTTTGCAGGAGGTTAGAAACATTGAAGCGCCAGTTCATAACGCGAAGCAGAATGCACGACAGGCCTGCCTAGAAAAGTATGTCAAGTGGCTTAATGAGAATGGAGCCCAATTTGCAGGTAAAATTTAGAAATTCACCATTGTTGCCCTTAGAAATGCCAATAATGCTTTGCGCACAGCCATATAAAACATTTGCTTTTTGTTAACCTTGACAAATGTTCACTATTCTATTCCCTTTGGACAATCAATAATTTTTTTAATAGTCACGCTCTAGGGAAGCCCTTTGTCGCTAAATTAACAACTTTACTGACATTTCTGTTTACTTCCCGACATACCTCATACTTATCATGCAGATAATACATTCACAAGAAATAGAAAATTAACACTTATTTATCAACTTTACTGTTACAGGAGTAGAAATCTGTGAATTTATAGGCTATGATCTTGGCCTGAAAGCTGTCAAGCCTTTCTCCGAAGGTTCTCTCATCCTTAAGGTTCCCAGCAAAGTTATGATGACAGAGAAAGATGCCCGTGATTCCAGCCTGTCTGAATTCATTGGAAAGGATCCGTTGTTGCAAAACATGCCCAACATTACTTTAGCTTTGTTCGTTTTATTAGAGAAAAACAATCCAGGTAGGCAATACTTCATAGTATATACATATCGATCCTTGAAAAGCAAAATGGGATAAGTGAAACTTTTGGTCACATTGAGTGATATATCCTGTTGGAATCCGCTAACGGTTCTGATTATTGTAAAACAGTAAGTTATATAAATATGGCAAAGTTTATTTGCCATATTTATATTACTTACCAAAATATAAATTTGAATCTTAAAGAGAAGATTATCTTAACTACTGAACTAACCGATAACCCACATATTTAAGTCAACTTTTTGTTTGACATGTTTCAAACCAGTCCTTGGTCCTTAATCATGAGCTTCAGCGGCAGTGACTCGATGAACAAATGGCTGGTTTGAAAACACTGGCTGGTTCGAAACATCTCAAGCAAAAATTCAACTTAAACATATGCTTATCCATTAGTTCAGTTAATAAACTTGAATCTCACTAAAAAGGTTTTATTTATTCCATTTTATTGCCTTAAAAATGTTAATGACTGTACTTAGCTTAAAAATTGTATACTTATTGAATGTCCCAGCTCATTACTTTCAAAGAATTAGTTAACAAACATACTTAACATTAGTGATGCAACAGAACTCTGCTTCCGCGACTAGGGTAGTTCCGCACGCTTTTTCACATCTGTTTCCGTTTTTGCTTTTGAAACTTTTAGGACGGAACTTTTATCGGATGTTTATAACGTTCGGGATGGATAGGCGCATGCGCATATTGCTGAGCGGTGGGGCTCGCGGGTTTTAACAGTTTTGTGTTGTTTCAAGTGCAGTATTTGTTTATAAGCCTGTTCTATCCCACTACTGGGTAAAGGCTAAAAAATGCAATTATGAAACCAAAAAACAAGCCCTATTTGAATCTATTTCATTGAAATATTTATAGTATTTACACTTCCGCTTCCACATCCGTCTCCCTATCCGTTTCTGCTAAGATTGACTTCTGAGATCTGTTGCCGTTTTGACACTTCTGTTGCATCACTATTTAACATACTAATAGCCCTACCCATGTTGTATGTGATGCCTGAGGAATAGCTATATTCAATGTTCAAGTTTAACAAATAATAATGTGTTTAAAAAAGACTTTTTAACAAGTAGATAAAAAGATATAACAAAAGTAATTGCAAATAATTAGAATGTTGCATGTTATTAGCTCTATAAAATTAACAACAACACAACAAACTCTTGGTGTTATTGCAAAACAATAAAAACAACTGTTTTGTTTTAATTATTTCAAAATTCTTGTTATATCCAGTTGTTTGAGAAAGCTCTATGAAGTCAAAGTATGTCTTTTTAAATCATCAGTAGTTCTAGAACATTCAATCACCATAAAATTATTATTCAAGCATTGAAGTTAAAGGGGTATAGGTGTGAATATTGGTCCATTGCACTTATGATTTAAAACAATTTGTTGGAAACCTAACACTGAACAGTCTAATTTGCAAGCCAGCCTGGCATTAAAAATATTATGTCAATTCCTGGACATTTTGAAACGCATTACCATGGTTCAGTATGTGAACATCACTATAATTTTCAAGTTAGATGGTTAAGTGTATTGAATTTCATGGAAGAAATTATATTTATTTGCTATTTTCACATATAGATTGTTATACATACTTTTGACATACTTCATAAATCCTAACTTCTGTTAATAAAACATTGTATGCAATTAATCAGTTGCAATAATCTTCTCTTGTTCATCTAGTATTTATTAATTATGACACTGATTTTATTCAGAAATGTTAATTTTCCCTTTTCAGAATCTTTTTGGAAACCCTACATTGATGCATTGCCTGATAAGTACTCCACAATATTGTACTTCACTCCTGATGAATTAGCAGAATTAAAGGTAAATAATATTTGTCAAATGTAATCCTGCACAAAGTAAAATAACCTTAAACTTACTTAACTTTCTTACTTCATAACCAACAAACTCGCCTTATAAATGGTTGATATCTATAGTGATTCTGATGTCTGTCCCTTGAAACGATTTTTTTTAATAAAAAAAATAAGTTCCATTTTGATCTTCATCGCACCTAATAGAAAGTGATGATGAAGTCGACAATGTAGTAGGTATGCACACCTAAACAATGCCTATTCACTCGCCTTGACTGCCCAAGTTATAACGTTCAGGGAATAAGTATGTAATGTGGATTTCCTATTTTCTTGTGGATTTTCCATTAAATGAAACAATTCTTAAAATTGCCCTTTATATGTCTACATTAATGTATGTATGTACCATAAATCATAATCAATAGACCTGCAGAACAGAAGTCCTTGCTCGATTTATGGCGAAGTATGATGATGAACCCAATGAACGGTTAATTGATGGTGTGGTACATAACTAGTGCCACTTCATGAATTAAGGGTCGTATTCTAGAACTCTGCTCAATGCTCAAGTCAGGATTTGAGTATGGTTTAAAGCACTCGAAATCACACTCAAGTCCCTGCCATTAGGGTCGTATTTCCAGTGCTTGTGTTTCCAGTGCAATCCTAACCTGAGCATTGAGTAGAGTTCTATAATACGACCCTAAGTCTCTTGACTTCTAGGCACCAGTTGTGCTAAGTCACAGCTTGACTTCTGTGGATTTACCTTATATTTTTTTACATTCATTATTTGTCTTTTTCAGCCATCACCTGTGTTTGAATCATCGTTAAAACTGTACAGAAGTATAGCAAGACAATATGCATATTTCTATAATAAAATCCACACTTTGGACATTTCTGGTCTGAAGAACCTTCAAGATTTATTCACTTTTGACAACTACAGGTAAAAAGAACAACTAGAACAACTTATCTTTATTTATTTATAGTTTAAACAGAACATATGAAACTTAACAATCTTTGATGTCACATTGCACTTGCACCATATAATACTGAATATCATTACAGTATAATAGTCAATTCACATCTTAAATTTTAACTGGAAAATAAAGGAACCTTATACACGATAAATGACTCCTGAACAAATTGTTAAAATTTCGAAACGCCCGTCAATTTAAATGCAGGCTCTGGGCTCATTAGGTAAGAGTATTAAATAAGTCTACTTAAGAGTAAATAAATATGGATCAAATCCCTTAAATCAAAATCAGGTCACTAGTTAAACAATGTAAAAATAAACCTTTCAAACATTCATTAAAATTATCTTATACATCTTATTTTATACTTACAATTTCAGTCTAATCGTCTTGTGCTAACGTTCTTACTACTGAAATGGTTTCCTCAGTGTGTCCCACATGTAATCTGGCGATTCACTGCTACGTTGAGAATCTAATGTATTCATTGAATAAATGTTCGGTGTAGTGAGCATTGGACTTAAACTACGCGTGCTACAGTTGTTCTTATGACCCTTCCTGTTTTCAAACACTGGCGTTTGGATGCGTTCTTCGTTGAAACTTTGTTTGTGCGACAACATTGACCTTTGCTGCTTCCATTTCAATGCAGCATAGGTAAGTAAGAACAGTATCAAAGATAAACCTACGATGCTTGCAGTAGCCACAGTGACTGATTTTGTGTTAACAGACATCCTATCTAATATGCCAGACTTCTCTGTTGAATCTGTTCTATCGTAATTAACATTCAAATTTTCGCCTATTCCTGGCGTAATGTCATTATTGATGTGTTTCAAGTCCTCTAGTACAATTATACTGTCACCATCTAATTCCTCTTCTACAATAAGGCTTTGGTTTGTTTCTGTTGGTAATGTTGGTAATAGCTCTGTAAAAAAACATTAAAAACATTACAGTGATAAAACTTTTTTATACGATGGCGGCAAAATTGCGTAAACTTAAATAAACACATTTAAACTTTTGCGTCACTTATTATTACAACGCACTAACTTCCATAATTTACAAACATTTTTGTCATAAATTGTTCATAGGATATTGAGGAAGATTCTAATACACCAGAGGACCCCTGCAAATTTATCGCCAAAGATACCTATTTTTACTTATTTTCACAATAGTAAATATATTATTACCTTCTGCAGCTTGTGGTAATTCAGAATTTGATTTAGACATGTTATTGTTATTCCTCATTAATTCATACAACTTTTTCCATGCAATGACGTCTTGTCTCAAATTGTCGTTATCACTTATTAAAACTCTACTTTCTCGAGTGGTTTCATCCTTAACAGTGGTATCAACACTAGTGACAGTCGACATATACAGTGTCCCCTCAGAATCTTTATTTAATGTACTATTCTCATTTTCCATATCGCCCGCTAATTTTGTAAATAGGGATATTATGCCCATGTTTTCTCCATTTTCATTAACATTGTTTCCAAAATTCATAACCACAGGAATATATTGTGTTTGTGGCGGATTCGGATCTAATGTTGTTACTCTCGTCAGTGGGTCGTGGTGATTGGCGTCCAATAAAGCTCTTAATGGATAAGTTTCTTTAGATATAGGTTCAATTGAGGATTTAGAAAGGAATGGCTCGGGAGGATTTGGCTCTTTTGAAGTATTATGGAAAATGTCAGCTAAGTGAACGTGGCTGGACCCACGTTCTCTGTGCTCTACCAACTCATTCAATGTCATATTTCTCTCCATCAATATTTTCGATAACCTTGCGCTAGCTGCGAAAAAGATAAAAATTCATATATTAGTTTAACACGAATACGAAATGTAATAGGTAACATTAATCTGAATAATTTCATTCAAAATAGATATTGTAAACTACTTTCGGAATATTCAATTTCTGTACGAATTATGGCATGCTACGGCTCTACGTATCAACATTTCAATAAGTACAGACTTACTCCTCGTATCGTTAAGAATTTCTTCTATCTCAACTTTTGCTGTTTCCTCAGTTGTGCTACGGACTGAAGTCCGGTCCGATGAGTACTTAGGAGTAGTAAAAGTAGTTGAATTACGTGAGAATTTTTGCATATTTTTCATTTCATTAACATTTGATAAGTCACCAGTCACAGTTGTAAGATATTCTTCTAAGCCCTGCATATCTTCTCTAGTTGACATTGATGTTTCGGTTCTAGCAACGAACTCCGATGACGATATCGAGTTAGGCTTACTAAACAAGTCTGTCAAATGCTCATCGTTTTCCATAGATGGCTCTGTCGGTGAGTTTTTCTGCTTCAAACGTTTCCTCTTTGTCCTGTGATTTGGCTGCCGCCGTGTTACCATACGGTATCCACCAGGTCTTTCCAAACGTATAACTTTTATCTTTTCCGTAGTAGTGATAACTTCAGCAGTCGTGGTTTCTTGTGTAGGCACTGTAGACACTTGACTTGTATCAATATCCACTTGTTCGTCTTCTTTAAAACGTTCGTTTATGGTTTCAGTTTCATCATAAAGTGTAGATGGGTAAATTTCAATATCGGTGTTGGTTGTTTCTTCAGGACCTGCAGTAGTAGTTGTCGAAACTTCCACATTTTCATTTTTACTCGCACTGTCTTGTGTAATACTGGAATTCATTGATGGTAAAATTTCCTTCCACTCTTTGGACTTTGTGATATTTCTATTATCATGATATTTTCTTACAGTTTGCGTTATTAAATCTCTGCTTAGCTCCGCTTTTATACTATTTGTTTTGATTGTCGGTCTTAGGCGCAATTTTCTTCTAATACCACCAGGGAATCTGCGCTTAGGCACAATCTTAAGACCGTTTTCGTTTAAGATTATTCTAGTGTCATGAGATTTGCCTGTATTTTGGGGTTCTAAATCTTCTTCTCTCTGCCTTCGCTTTTGCGATTGTTGAGAATTTTCTATATCTTCAGTCGTCTTTTCTGAATCTGACTTATATTCCGGTTTATTTTCATTACTTTCCTTTTGTTCCTGCGTAGATTCGTTTTTTCTCGAACTTTCAGAGGTATTCTCACTGTCCTTACTCTTTGATTTATGAGCGTCTGAAGAGCTTTCGGATTTAAGTACGGATACAGCGTTTGTTCGACCACTAAGTAAATCGATCAATGACAAATTGTGTTGTTGAAGAGTTTCGCTCAAACTTGTAGCGTTAGACCGCTTAAGTAGTTCCTTTAGCTTCGCAGGATATATAAGGTTCTGTGCCTGAAAGTAACATTTTTTTTATAAATTATAAATCCTTTTTGGGACCTATTTCAGTATAACATTCAGTTTAGTGCTGTAACGTACATGTGTCATAGTTTTTGCACGTTGTTCACAATAATAACAAATTTTTTATTGTTCAATTAATATCTAAAAGCAACTTCGCATTAAAATAGAAGTACGTTTCAGTCAACATTCATTCTATGAAAAAGTGTTCTGTACCATAATTTTATGTTAAGAAAGTTATATACCAGAAAGTTATTAGAAAGTTATGTACCATAATTTTAGTTTGTTTTATGAATATGTGTCATGTTTATTCATACAAACGAAAATATATATACAGGCGAAGCCCTCCAACAACGTTTATAAAATAAGTATTTTAAAAATAAGTGCCATGTCGACTAGCTTACATAAGACAGGACTTCGCTTGCGTCTTGTAGTTGGCGTTTTGTTACCTGTCCAATTAAGTGTAAATCATGTAAAATAGTCCTTCAGCCATAAATTAATACCTGCTCAAAGTCTGGAAAAGATTAGCTACAAATACGAACACTAAATTATAAACAAGTCGTTAGGTTATTACTTGTTAACCTTAACATAATATTAGTTTTTTTTTTTACTACAATTTATGCTTTTAATGTTTGCTTATTTTCATTTATTTTTTGGACTTTAAAGGGAGCTAACATGTTGTGCAATGGCGGATTAACCTTCAATCAAATTAAACCTGTTTATGGCGTCATGTCTTGAGGGGCAATAAGTTCATAGTCCCGATATAGAAGCATTGGCGTAGCTAAAGAGCCTAGTGGCAACGCCAAAACGATCCAGGTTTTTTTTTACACTAAGAACATTAATAGCTTCTACCCCTTCAAATAAGTTATATTGAAAAGGCTGACTTTGATTGACTATTACATACTATCCTTGTGTTATTGCATTTTACTATATGCAGCGACTATTCTAGATTTCTTGGAAAATCTGAAAATTTCTGGTCTCGCTAGGGCTTTTTTCTCTCAGTTCTGCTAATTTCAAGTTACCTCAGTTGTGTGTCATGTCATAGAGTGTTAATGGCAGGATTTTATAAGTTTGATATTCTGCTAAAAGTTAAGAGTAGTGGCTTGTCAGTAGCCAGCTGTAGTTCTCTCCCCATATGACATCTATAGCGGCCGGTGTTTTAAAGTAAAAGGTACAAAAAGGGCACCACTTATTTAGAATATTAAGAACATCCGATGAACCTAATTCGGCACTGGTCGTTATTTAATATTATTGTTAATTAATTATGTTACAAAAAGTTAAGTGTCGTTTTTTACACATTACGTTATAGGAAGTAAATATTATTTGAGAAATCCAATAAATACCGAGTATTCTTCTATTATTTTTGGTCTATTTCTTCGTCCCAACAGTTGAAGATGTAGTTTTTCCTAGAATTTACATACTTTGAAAACAATTGTTTGAACTTTGAACCAAGAATTCAAAGGTAGCTAAGGTGATGGAGGGTTTAGATAAATCTGTGTAAACATACATTTCCACGATTCCTACTCCGTTTTCTTGAAGTAATTACAGCACTTTGTTTTTATTTCCAAAAATAGGTATACTTACTCGAGATTTAGCTGCTGTTATTTGATTCTTAAATTCTGACTTTGTTCCCAATACATCTGTGGGGACACTCAACTCTATCATTTTTTCATCTAACTGCGTTGGTAAATTTGTTGTCTCTGATGAAATCAATATCGGTCTCTCTGGCAGCTGTACTTGCTGCGCTTTTTCGTGTAATTTATTTGCCAGTGACAGTTGTAGGTATGAGGTTTTCTCTTCATCAGAATATTTTTTGTTATTCGGTACTTCCAGCGAGAATTCTGACAGCGACTTATCTTCTTTTAGATGTACATCGTAATTGTGAAATGTCTCGTATGGCTTGTCGCGATCTTCTGTCCTGGTTTCTATATTACCGTCATGGAATTCTTCTTGAATTAGTTCTTTTATTTTAGGGCCGTCCCTATTAGGGGAGTGTGCGTTTAAATCATCTTCTAGCGGTCTATCAAGTGATTCACGTGGTGTATCCTCAAATTCACTTATTCGCCATCCGTTGAGTGAAGGTCGCTTCGTTCTATGACTTCGTTTCCTAAACGGTCTCTCTGCCTCCACGTAATCTTGTGTCCATTGATTTCGCCTGTTATCTAATTTCTTGCGCCGCCTTCGAGGCATTTCTGTAGTTTCTCCGTATTGTTGTTCCTGATAGTGTTGCGGCTGTTCAGGGTACACTTGCTTTTCCTCTGATGCTGGTTCTTCGTCGCCTATGGGGCGACGTTTTCGTTTGCGAAACGGCCTGCGCCGCTTGAGCGGCTCCTCCATCGATTCGTGCCATGGCTCAGTTTGCGTTGAAGGCTGCATCATTGGCTCCGCTTCTATCGCTCTCCAAGCCTATAAATATAAAATTAAAGTGGTTAACAATCATTTTCAAAATTTTTATAACACAACCTCAGCGTGATAACCTTACGTGTAAATGTGTGTTTATAAAAACATAAATTGTAAACTTTTTAGCCACTTTCGATACGCATAAATAGTTCCACAGTTTTTCTTTTTATCTTTTTTGTGCTCAGTGTTAGCCAGTCTCACCTGTGAAACTGCTCGGTGAAAGGTCAATGGATATGATGCTTGAATTTGTGTACCTACTGCTATTTTAATTAGGTATCGATTACCACCAACCAACTATAACATAATAATTACTTTGGATTTAAAATTGTTTTAATACTACATGTTATGAAAAAGTAACAGCGTTTTTGATTGCGTAATCTCTCATCTGTTGGTTATGGTAAAAAATGTAGCGTGAAATGGATGCGTTAACATGTTTAATTCGAAATTGAAATTATGTTAAAATGTTTATAGTTGTTACAAATATCAAAACGTAATTAATAAATTTACATTAATTATGACAGTCCAAAAATAAAATTTCTCATACGATGTTGATGACATTTCTTAAGTAAGTCTCTTCTTGATTTCACATATTTTCTTGTAAGGAAAATTACATGGATTGCGTAAGTGCGTGTTGAGACGCTCTGCTCCATATACCTCTTTATTGTGTGTTAATCGTCAAAAAACATGGTACCGTGTGAAGCCATCTCACAATACAACTGGAATATTCGGTAAAAACGAATCGATTATGTTGCCAACATAATTATATGATAGCGATTATAAGAAGGTAATACTTATAGTGGAAGATGTGCACACAGAATCACAGATGTTTTCACGAAGGCACATACATTTGTACGTGGTTAAATGAAAGTAATACGCCGCTACTGTATGTATAAGTCACTCTCGGATGACGTGGCTTTCTAACTCCGTAGTTTAATTTGCGTGGACATTTCCCTTCTGGGCACATTATTTAAACTGTGTTCACTTTAAATTACATATTTAATAATACATAATGTGGATAAGTGACATCGTGTAGTTACTGCTTTTAAACGACGTTGCGACTAACTAGCAACAATTAAAAAAAAAGTTCTAGACAGGTTGGGACCAGTAGGAAATATTTCTTATAAATTATTTTAATTAGCCCGTGATGCAGGTTTATACAGGATGTTAAAATTGTTTGTTCAAACTATTTTTTTTGTCTACCTGACCGTGTTCAGGCGTCATGTCGACCACTTTGCCTCCTAGTTGGGTTGGCGCTTGTATGCGCTATAAGATAACCAACGTAGCCAATATTCGCTACGAAAATTCAAAGTAACTAGGTTTTGAGTTAATTAAAATTAAACATTTTTATTCTTATACATTTCCCTTAACACCGTTTCGGGATTGGTAAAAAACGTACTTCATTGGTTCAGGCTACTGTCATCGTTATGATTATCTCCCCAAATAGGTCACACTGTTATGTACATGATTGGAGGTGGACTCAGGTGTTAAACGAATCTTGTATTTACTACAAGAGTTGCAAGCGTACTCCAAAATTGTCCATGAGTGCTTTTTTGCTACCGATTATTGAAATACATCAAAACTGTAATAGCTATAGTATACATAGACTAAAATTAATTAAACCAACACACACTCAAATACAATGATATGTTGGCATGGTATATGCCACTACTATACAATAAGTAACATTAATAACTAGGAAATGAAACCATTTTTTCTTATCTAAATCGTGCATGTCTTTTTTTTGTCAGTTAATAGTAAAATTTCTTACTTACATTTCATAATTTATTACTATTACTTTAAAATAATTATATAACGTATTAATAATATTACTTGTTTGCACTTATATAAACACCTCGCAGAATGACGATAAAAAATAGTATTGACTCATACTTTATTCTTCCGCTAGATAATTATGGACGAAGTTCAAATACCATTGCTACCTTCTTAAAATAATACATTGGCTTTTTCAATTCATTACCTCCACAGGAAAAAATATGGTCCACACCGTGACGGATCGAGTGGCAATCACGAGCAGCGGCTCGCGTTTTAATACCTCCACTTTCTATAGTTGCTTGAGCCACTACACGCAATAAATAAAGCTGTAATTAATTGGTGACAGTACTACGCTAAAGTACGGTTGCTTTACTTTGATCTATAGCAATCACCACCTTACCGTCAAACTTGAAAGGCTTGACGATCCGCGTGTTATGCACTTTTTTTAATGATACCGAGTGACGGGACGAACAAGTCGTGGGCCTGGTGGTAAGCGACACGCCTATCCACAACAGTTGCAGTGCCACTCAGAGCATTAAATCCAAAGATCTGAGGGGCACTGCCACTGCGTCCGGCACCCTGAATTAACCCACCCTACCCTTCACCAGTATCCTTACCTACCCTTCAAAATCGGAACGCAGTAATGCTCGCGTTACGGCAGAAATAGGTAAGGTGGTAATACCTCCCTGGACGAACTCTGTCACAAGGAACTTTACTGCTACTAATAATTTCTCAATATCCGGAACCTGAAGTTCAGAAAATACGACAGAAATGCGCTTCGAAATGTATGGAATTTCTTAGGTAACTCTAAACGTCAAGCTGATATTTACATTGGATGGTTAACTAGGGACCGTAGAGAAAATATGAATTAATATCCCTTTATTATTAGATATTAGTACGTATCTTCCGCGTGAGAGCTACTGTGGATATCGTATAACTTTGATAGTTCGCCATGTCATCAAATTTACAGGCTGGGGCAAAAAGTGCACCCGAGTTTGGAGGATTAATAAGAAAACTATAGAACTTACAGTGTTTATTTTTTCTTTTCAATTCTGTATAATCTTACAGATTTTTTCCTCATGTTTTGATTACGATTTCAGCGTGCTGGCGGCCTACAGCGGGAATACGCTGATGTAGTTGGTTTCTAAAGTTCCCGGCCACTTTTCGACGCATCTCAAACGATTAGGTCGTTCACGTAATATAATTAATTCGGGCCTAGATGTCTAATGCGGTATAGGGGCGATGCTTAAAAACTTTATCCTTCAAGTAACCTATACAGGAAAATATTACCGGGGCTTAATTCAAGGCGAGCATGGATTCAAAACTTGAATTACAGATTGTAATGATGTACTGAATTAAATAAAAAGAAAATAATCAAAACCGTAAGTTCTACAGTTTTTTGTTTATACTTGTCCCACCCTGTGTATACTTTTTTGCCTTACCGATCGTTTGAAATTTACGTGAGATCATTAGGTTCTTTTTTTTTATGGCGCACAATAACGTCAGCATATTGTTATACAGTAGTGTTATAAAAATAAAGAATAAACATCTATTCATTCCGTATTTTTACACATTTTATTGACATAATAGTACTGATTACAGAAGGACGTCAACTCTTGCCCGTTGCCCAGTTGACTTTACGACTTTCAACTATCTTTGATTTCTGTTTTTGTATTTTAATCTAAAACGCATATAATTCTGAACATTTTTCTTAAATCACACCGTTACATTGTACTTCGAACCTTAACTATAAACTTGAACATAGGTAATTGTCTTTATTTGAAGCCCTAACTCAGCACGTTTCTAGTTTACTTGGAGATAATAGTACAGCGGCTGTTGTATAGCCGTTTTATTTTCTCTACTCATTGACGGACTCCATGTCAAATTAACTTTAGTTACGAATGTTACCGTGCCAATTTGTTTCCCAGTTTATTTGTTTGCTTTCTCAATGGTTAAGAATTTCCTTTTTTTTTTGTTAATCTGAATCTTTTTAGTAGCAATACAGCTCCTTGTGAAGTTCGTCGAAGGAAGTATTGCCACCTTACGTATTTCTGCCACCCAGCAGTACCTAATATGAGCGTTCCGGTTTTGAAGGGTAAGGGTGCTGGTGAAATTAGAGACGTTTACAAGTCGAAGTCCCATGTCAACTTATGTCTCAGGGTGAAGGCAGCAGTGACAGTGCCCTTCAGATCTTTGCGACTAAAGTGAATTGCACTGCAACTGCTATGGGCAGGCAGGCGCGTCGCTTACCGCCAGGTAACGAAACAAGAAAAGTCTATTCAAAAGGCAACAAATAAAATTGACATCTAATCCGACCTTCAAAAGGGAGGACGGAAAAATGGTCAAAAGTATCCCTTTTTCCAGTTTTATCATCAGCTAATTGTATTGAAGGTACGATTGACACTGATATGTCGCACGCAAATTACTGGTGATACACCCGAGTGTAAGTGCCAAAATTTTAAATTTTTCACGGAAATGTCAGCTCGGAAATTAAATATTAATTAAATTCGAAATGTATTACAATTGTCATTAACCCATGTACGTTCCAGCTGGAGGCGCATCGCGCGAGCAGGTTCCATCTACAGACACATCGAGTATATAACCAGAAATAGGGACGAAATAAGTGCCATACATCCCTGGCAACTCATCAGGCAAATGGGCCTTAAATACTATACTACTATACTTTTAAATATCGACTCTCGTTTGCACTGAAATCACAAATTAGAAAGCTGAAATAGTACAGCGCCAACAACTGGCCTGTGTGTACGTCTCCGTATATTCCAAAAATATTATGTATTTATTGTAATAAAGATAATATCTCTAACTATGGGAGCTGTTCCATTCGGTAGAAACAAACGGAATCACATTTAATCGGTATTTAAATATGTAATTTTTCAATTAACGTCCATTATAGCTATATATAATCTCAAGTTAAACTAGTCGATTTGAAGTGAAACAATTGACTTTACTACGTTACGTCAATTGTTTCGAATTCAGACTGGTCAATGGGAGTGCAATTGTCACCGTAATTATATGGCAGAATTGTTTTCAAACAAATAAAATGACATTTCGTCTCTATTTCTGGTTATAAACTCGATATACAGACAAGACTACTTAGCAAGCCTTTTCACGTGCCTGTGTCCAGTAATGAGCCAATTATTTATTTAAAATTTTAATAGGATAAGAGCAATAAGATTTCAATAATTATTTTGTAATTTTTGTTTTGATTTTAT